GTGCCATCCTGCTTGCTCCAGCTCTGAGGCCACGGCCTGCTGAAAGCAGGTATCTGGGGTTTGTTTAGCTTCTATAATTGAAACTTTGTTGCTTTCGGAGCTCAGAGCCAGGCCGCGGCAGGCGGGGAACCTTGGCTTCCTCCATCACTGGAGCAAGCAAGCCTCCTGCTCGCTTCAGCTGCGTGGCTGCCGGCCGCCATCTTGGTTGGTGGTTAATTTGCATATTGCCCTAATTAGCCCATGGGAAGCGTAGCGAAGGTACGGTCAATTACCCTTTTTGTCTTTTATTAGATAGGATGTATCGTGCATGCATGAGTCAACATTTTTAAACTAGAGGCCCAGTGCACGAAATGGGGCCCCTCAGCCTAGCCTACACCCTCTCATAATCCGGGACCCCTCAGGGGATGTTGGAGAGCTGGTTTCCACCTGATCCCTGCAGGCCAGGCCGAGGGACCCCACCGGTGCATGTTCCTTGCACCAGGCCTCTAGTATGCATATAAGATCTTTGGTTACTCTCTTCCCGCCCTCCCCGCTCCTCCCTTCCCTCTGAGATTCATCAGTCTGTTCTATGTTTCCATGCGTTGAGCACCTGCGCCCTGGTGGTCAGTGTGCATCATAGCTACCAGCCAGTTGGCCGATTACTTAGGCTTTTGTATATACAGATTGACAGTGCACATCATATGTACCAGCCAGCTGGTCAGTTGGTCAGATATACAGTCAGTCACTCAGCCTTTTATATATATACTAGAGGCCCAATGCATGAAATTCATGCAAGAGTAGGCCTTCCTTTCCCTGGCTGCCAGCACCGGCTTCCTTCTGGCACCCAGGACCTAGGCTTCCCTCCAGCCACCAGCAGGCACCTGGGACCCAGGCTTCCCTCACAGCCCCGGCTTCATCAGGAAGGATGGCAGGACATCCGGAAGGATATCTGGTCTAATTAGCATATTACGCTTTTATTATTATAGATATATACACACACACACACACATACACACACACACATACATTCCCCCCTCCCCCCAACCAGGGATTTACTTTGTTTTTATTTTTTAAATAATTTTCTTTTTCTAAATATATTTTTACTGATTTCAGAGTCAATCAGAGTCCAAAACTCTGATTTTGGAGTAAGGACAGGTTTACTGATTGAGAAGGCAGAGCTCAAGAAGATGGGGGAGGAGGAACTGGATGAAAGAAGGTGAAGAGATTAGCAAAAGAACATACAGTATAGTCCATGAACACAGACAACAGTGTGGTGATGGCCAGAGGGGGTAGCAGTGAAGCTGGGTGGAGGTGGATAAAGGGGGGGAAATAGTGGACATCTGTAATATTGTCAACAATAAAAAACAAATAAATAAAATTAGGGATAATTTTACTTCTTCCTTTCCAATATGGATGCCTTTCATTTCTTTTTCTTGCCCAACTTCCCTGGCTATTATGGCCTCTAGTATAATGTTGAACAGAAGTAGAGGGAGACACAAGGATATACTTGTTTTACTCCTAATCTTAGATGGGGAAAGTATCCAGTCTTTCACTATTAATATGATGCCAGCTGTCATTTTTTCACAGACATCCTTTATCAACTTGGGGGGAAATTCCATTCTATTCCCTGATATCCTTAGGGTTTTAATACAGAAATTGGATTGAATTTTGTCAAATACTTTTTCTGCATCTATTGAAACAATCATGTGTTTTTTGTACTTTATTTATTTACTTATTTAATTCATTCATTCATTATTTTTTTAAATCCTCACCTGAGGATATTTTTCCATTGATTTTTTAAAAATACATTTTTATTGATTTTTTACAGACAGGAAGGGAGAAGGATAGAGAGTTAGAAACACTGATGAGAGAGAAACACTGATCAGTTGCCTTCTGCATGCCTCCTACTGGGGTCACGCCCGCAACCAAGGTACATGCCCTTCACTGGAATCAAACCTGGGATCTTTCAGACCATGGGCTGACACTATATCTACTGAGCCAAACTAGTGAGGACTCCATTGATTTTTTTTAGGGAGAGTGAAGAGAGAGGGAAAGACAGAAACATCCATGTGAGAGAAACGCATTGATTGCTTGTATACTGCACGAGCCCCGACCAGTGTCCAGGCCGGAAAGGAGCCTGCAATCAAGTATGTGCCCTTGTCCGGAATCGAACCTAGGATCCTTTGGTCCACAGGCCAACCCTCTAGCCACTGAGTCAGACCAGCTAGGGCTTTTGTACTTTATTTTTTATGGTGTACTACATTAGTTTATTTTCAGATGTTGAACCAACTTTACATTCCTGGGATAAATCCTATTTGGTCATGGGGGTATAATTCTATTAACATTGCTGGGTTTGATTATGCTAGTATTTTGTTAAGGATCTTTGCATTCATATTCATAAGACACATTGATCTACAGTTTGTATTTCTTGTAATGTTTTTGTCTGATTTTGGTATTGGAGTTATACTAGCCTCATAGAATAAGTTGGGAAGCATCCCCTCCTCTTCTATACTGAAATGTTTGTTTTGAACATTTGGGCCTGAGCTTTTCTTTGTAGGTAGGTTTTTATTTTGTTTTTTCATTTCTTTTTTTTTTCTTTTTTAATATATTTTATTGATTTTTTTTACAGAGAGGAAGGGAAGCCCTAACCGGTTTGGCTCAGTGGATAAAGCGTTGACCTGCAGACAGAAAGGAAGGGAGAAGGATAGAGAGTCAGAAACATCTATGAGAGAGAAACATCAATCAGCTGCCTCCTGCAGTCCTCACTGGGGACATGCCCACAACCAAGGCACGTGCCCTTGATCGGAATCAAACCCAGGACCCTTGAGTCTGCAGGCCGGTGCTCCATACACTGAGCCAAACCAGTCAGGGCTTGTTTTTTCATTTCTAATGAAAAATTCAATTTCTTGTCATGGATCTATTCAGATTGTCTACTTCTTCTTGAGTTAGTTTTGGTAATTTGTGTCTTAGTAGAAATTTGTTCACTTCATCTAAGTTATCTAATTTATAGGCATACACTTGTTCACAGTATTCTTTTGTAATCTTTCTTATTTCTGTCAGGTTGGTAGTAATGTTCTCGCTTTCATTTCTGATTCTAGTGATTTGAGTCTTCTGGGGTTTTTGTGTGTGTGTGTGTGTGGTTTTTTTTGGCCTGGTCAATATAGCTAAAGGTTTGTCAATTTTGTTGATCTTTTCAAAGAACAAGCTTTTTGTTTCATTTATTTCTTTATTGTTTCCCTATTCTCTATTTCCTTTATTTCTACTCTAAACTTTCTTAGTTCCTATCTTCTGCATGCTTTAGATATAGTGAGCTCTTCTTTTTCCAGTGTCTTTAAGGTGGAAGTTTAGAATACTGATTTGAGATCTCTCTTTTTTTTCAGTATAGGCACTTATAGCTATAAATCTCCCTCTAATATGCCTTAGCTACATTGATAAGTACTGGTATGTCATGTCTTATCTTCATACATCTAGAAATATTTTTTAATTTCCTTTTTGATTTATTCTTTGACCCATTGGTTATATAGGAGTATGTTATTTCAATTTCCACATATTTGTGAGTTTCCCAAATTTCTGTTAGTGATTTCTACTTTCATTCCATTGTGGTTAGAGAACATACTTTGTATTTTTACTATCAAAAGAGTGCATGTTATTATATACGAATAATATCGCAAGGCACACAAAAATCACTGTCAAAATGGCATTAGAAATAGTAACTGTGGCTATGAATCTTAGATAGTCTTTATTTTTTAATCTTTTTTAAAGATATGTTTTACTGATTTCAGAGAGAGGAAGAGAGAGATAGAAACATCAATGATCAGCTCCTTCTGCACACCCCCTACCAGGAATCGAGCCTGAAACCTGGGCATGTACCCTAACAGGGATCGAAACATGACCTCCTTGTTCCTGGGTCCACACTCAACCACTGAGCCACACAGGTTGGGCAGATAGTCTTAGTTTAGTTGAGCCTGCAAAAGCTTATGACAGATCTGCTATTTCCAGATTTTTTTTACCCTACTATGAGCTTCTACAACGCAAAGAGCACACATGAGAAACTGGCAAGAAACATGAAAAGTTCTCTCAAGAAAGGAAATACAAATGGAAAACAAGTATGAAGCCTCACTAATAATATTTTTAAAAGGAAATTAAAAATAATAAAACACCATTTTCCTCCAAACAAATCAACAAGTTTATATCTAGTTTTTAAATATTAATATCCAATGCTAGAATAATACAGTGAAATTAGGCTCCACCCAACCATGCATTCATTGGTTGTTCCTTGTATGTGCCTTGACCAGAAATCAAACCTGCAAACTTGGAGTATCGAGATGATATTCTAATAAACTCTAAATGCTTTTAACTAGTAATTCTATTTATAAACTATTTATGTTTAGGAAACAACTCTAAGTACAGAAAATATTTTAGACTAATAATATTTATTTCAGTATTTTTTATAATTTTAAAAATTGTTACAATATAAACTTTCAATAATAGGAGAAAGTAGTTTAATTATTTAACAAAATATCATGTATCCATTAACAACATTTACAATATAAGGAAAATACTTCTGCTTTAATGTTAGTGAAAGAGCGAAAGCAATATATGGTTACAGCTATGTGTTTAAAAAAATAGCAAACAGTTTGGCTCAGCTTTGGCCTGCAGATTGAAAGGTCCCGGGATTGAGTCCTGTCAAGGACACATGCCGGGGTTTTGGGCTTGATCCCCAGGAGAGGGCGTGCAGGAGGTAGCTGATCAATGAGACCAATGATGTTTCTCTCTCATCAATGTTTCTATCTCTCTATCCCTCTCCCTTCATCTCTCTCTAAAAATCAATAAAAATATTAAAAAATGAAACACACATGTGCAATAAAATAGTTAAAAAATAAAGTTTAAAAAAATAGCAAACTATTTGCATGCAGGAGAATCTCAGAAAGCAATACATCAAAAGACTAATAATGGTCACCTTTGGGTAGTGAATTATGAGTATAGTTTTTTCTTCATACTTTTCATTATCTTTCCAAAGTTTCTATGAATATAAATTTTTACAATATAAAGTTTATTAAAATCAAATTTAAGAAATTTCCACTTCAAGTGTAACAATCCACTTAATACAACTCTTTTCTCACAAGTATGACCTCATAAATACAACTAACTAAATAAATATACAAATATATACATATGTGGAGATACACTTACTCTCAAACATACCATCCCTAGTTTTTTCCACTTACACTCTTAATATTATACTTGTCAAAGTGTTTTGTGTTTATTGTTTATTAAGAAAACTGAAGCACTCTTTTTTTAAAATATATTTTATTGATTTTTTTACAGAGAGGAAGGGAGAGGGATAGAGAGTTAGAAACATCAATGAGAGAGAAACATCGGATCAGCTGCCTCCTGCACACCCCCTACTGGGGATGTGCCCGCAACCAAGGTACATGCCCTTGACCAGAATCGAACCTGGGA